AAAATATATATATATTTTCTGCATTTCTTCTACCATTCTGGGCATTTTGAAAAACTAATCTTTATTTTGGAGAAACTAGGTTGTTACTTTCTACATTTAGTCATGAAATAATAGCAAAGTTCTGTGGTGAAGGTGCAGTTCATGGCTTTTTTTTTGTGTCTTCTGAACCAACTTAAACTCATTTCTTTCCAGGTGTGATTTATGACATTTAATATCTTTTCTCACTTTATAAAACTGGGACTTTTGTCAATTTAATTTGTCATTTAAACCCCCTCTGATCAGAGAAACGGGTTCATTTTAACACAAGCACAGAAAAAACAAATGATTTTTTTTTTTTTTTTCTAAATAATTCTGTATTTCAGGCTGCACCTATAGATTATTTTAGTAATCAGATCATCTATGATTCATTTTTCGATTTCTACAAAAGAAAAAAAAAACAATAACCCTAATCGGACATTTTAAAATAACTGTCAATATGACAGCACAAAATAAATGTATTTGATTACATTAGAAAGAAGCAATTTATCTTTAATTAAGAAACTGCATTTTTATTTCTTTAAAACATGTATTGTTAATATCTTTAGAGTTTTCTCTGAATGACAGCTGTAAGTTTTAATTAGTAAAATGAGCAAGATGGTTTTTATGGAACATTTAGTTATTTATCTAATAAGCGTTTAAGACGTGAGATATACTATTACCTTACTAAATACACAATTATATGATTAAATGCCCTATTTAATAATCAATCTAACATTTAAAATTAGAACATGTATTCCTTTTAAAATTAATTTAATCACTTCAGGCTATAGAAATAAATAAAATCTGCAATAACTAAGGGATGGCCAGTCTGTATCATTGTTCCATTTTGGGGCTGAAATGTTTTAAAAAACTGCTCTAAGCAAAAATACTAGATTAGTTCTCGATTATTTCAATTAGGGCTTCAACTAACAAATATTTTGCTAATTGATTTATCTGTGGATTATTTTTTAGATCAATCGATTAATAATCGAATAGCAAGAAGACTTTTTACGAAATGAAACCAGGTCAATCTAAAACTTTTCCACTTTAGGAGTTTTTTTTTTACAATGTTGGTGTAATTACTGCTCTAAGTTGGTTGCTTTGTCAGCTAAAGCATGTTTTAAAGTCTCTATACACTTTTTTTTACCTGCTATACTTCCTTTAACGATTATTCGATAATCGATTAATGAGATAAATCATTCCGACCGACTATTTTTCTGTTTGTTTTCATCAAGAAGGTCAAAAAAACTCTAAATACTGATGGATAAAAAGTCAAATTTTGCTTTTAGAACCTGGAATGATGCTATATTTAAAGAAATGGAAGAAGAGATAAAAAAAGAAATCTCTGAAAACTCACTTTTTCCATTCTTAATTTTTCTGTACATATCTGGAAAGATAACATGCTCATATAAACACATAGGGCTGGGTGATATGAAGAAATAAATA